AAATTTATAAATAAATTTCTTTAGGAAAAACTTTAGCCATCTGATTGTTATTTTGATCATATTCATTTTCAGTATCCCAAAAAACTTAAAGGTAAAATATCTTTTTTTTTCCTTTCCAAAGCAGAAATTTTTCAAAATCTGTAGACTAGTGTTAAGAGTGATTTACACATTCATAAAAATGTTTAGACATCATGCCTGCAAACACATACCTAATAAGATTTACACTGAATGATACACTGTATTATGACATCCATTCCTTTCATGGGAGCAGTCTTTCACATACATTACGTATATCATCACAGTTACTATTAGACATACGGTGAATACATCTCCTTATCGATACCGAGGATTCAACTGTACGAGTTGCGCTTGTTTCATGCTATCATATGTAAGTGTTATGGAGTTACCTAGAGTAATTTTGAAGAAATATAATAGCAAAAAAAAAAAAAAAAAAAAAAAAAAAAAAAATGTATAAGTTTCCAAAAGCCATTGCTCAGATCGTAGTTACGGTAATCTTACAGCAATGTATTATGGCACATAGCAAAACATCCAGAAAACTGGTCTTTAACTTTGTGGACTGAGACATACATATACACGTATACTGTACGGTACTGAATACTAATCACTCCATTAACTAACACTCAATATTCAAATTAGTGCTTAACCGACAATTTTGCCATTTTACATACGAAACTGATCAACCAACAAGTTTCAGGACAAAAATGTGAAATCTGTATGTATGTATTTTTTAAAATGAACAAGATATGTGTTTGTCTCATGCCTAAACATGCAAGGATTATGCAGATACAAATAGAAACTGAAAAAAGCAAAATACTGCATAAATTATAACAATCATTTGTACTGGAGTAAATTTTGTATTCAAGGTCATCTATTGAAATGCCAGAAGTATCAGCTATTAACTTAAGAAGTTAAGAATATCACGCATCTATTCCTTTAGATATAGTGTGGTACCCTGAGTTTTGTACAGCTCCCAACTCGAACAATTATGTAAGTGTATTACTGTAAGTGCTGTTGTAAGCGTATTTTTGGGGGTCTGAAATGGACTAATCTAATTTACATTATTCCTTATGGGAGCAAATTCGTTCGGTAATGGCACTCGAACAGCCTTCTGGAATGAATTATGGAAGAAACTCGGGGTACCACTGTATACCAATTCAGCTTATTTATAAAGAATCCACTTGATACTTAGTTTAACAGCTTTTCTCTTTTATGACTTGTCTATTTCAATATAAATTTCATCCATTGCATGATATACTCATTTTGCAAATCCTCTACTTTTAATTATATCTAATACTCCCTTAAGATAATAAGGTAAACCTCTTCTATTTTCAATTTTTTTAAAGATATAAAATTAAAGCACAAAAAAAAGCAACAAACACTTTTCGATGGCACAGGCTAACCCACGTGAAAAAACAAAACAGATGATAAAAAGACTACATTACTGCAAAATATATTTTTATCCATGACACTGATTTTGCTGAAACAGGGCCTCTGTAGAAGACTAAAATACAGCATATAATACTCTTTTCTTTTCTCTTTTTATAAGTGGGTTTATCTGTGTCATCAAAATTAAATTTCACACTAATGTTAGTGGTGTAACATTATAAAGGAGAAATTATGCAGGCCTCAAATCTGCCAACCCCAGGGGTGTAAGGCGAGCACATTACTTCTGCACACCAAAATGAAGACAATCTTAACAAGACTTCTTACCGAATCTTAAGGCTATGCTAGGCCTAATGTTGTCCTATATCACTTTTATGGTGCTGCCAATGCCAACTTAGGATCCAGGTAACATTTCATATGATTGTACATTCCTGTCAATGCAAACTGAAATTTCACACTATTATGAATGAAAGAATGTGAGGGAGAATTTGTATGGTGAGAGGCAAGCACATTATTATATGTCTCAAACATTAGAAGATCCAAATCAAAATGCTTACCAAGTCTTAAGGTTGTGGTAGGCCCTTCTGTTAGCCCCAAAGAATATCTAGTCACAGAATTAAAAAACTAAATACAAATTGATTTTCCATCTTTAAAAAGCTTTTATAAATTTTCTATTTTTTTTTTTTTTTGTATTTGGTCAGACAATAGATAATGAAAATATAATATATTCTCATTATGTCAATCTAGGCACAAATAAGAAGGCTATATATGCATGACAACAGGAATTCAAAGTGAACTCAACTAACATCTTTTCAAGTTCTCTTTCCAGCATTTATCCAGCCTAAATGTTTAGTCAATGGGATTTTGTATTTATACCATGGAATAAATGTATTATGTGCCTTGAGTAAGAATTGCAATAGTTGCAGTGCTAAAGACAAAAAAACATGGATTATACTGCATCTACTTAGCATTCATAAATACAGTACTGATGCAAAATAGTGAACAGCAAGACAAATTGTACCGACCATCCTAAATGTATACTATTGCTGTATTTACTATCCCAACTTACCCCAAACAATTTATTGAGATTTCCAAAATGCATGAAAATATAAGAAAATTTTAATTGTTTATGAAGATGTTTCAAAATGGAGTAAGAAATTTCCAGAAAATATTTTATACAGTAGTATCTTTAAATAAAAATTATTAGTGGGAAAAACTGAAACATTCATGTGCAGAACAGTGCTTAACACCAGGGTTAATGAAAAAAGTATGCTCTATCTTATTATTGAAAAAAAAAATCTAATTTAATACAAATACTGTATAACAAATTAAATGAGAAACAATTTAAAGTTTCTCCATTTGCATAAAATGGTATAAGAAGACATTACTGCAGTGCTGCACCCAACAGCTAGCAACTCTCAATGAAGAAGTGACAGATGATTAACAGTTTGATTTTATGTAATTTGGTAGTAGAATATACCTATAAAGAGAAAAAAATAAGTCCTACTTTCATATTAAAATTCCTGTTTTCAAAACAATGTAATAATGTATGAGAAAAACTGATGAAAAATATGATCATTACCATTCATATCATATGACTGTTATACCAATGCACACAGACCAGTATATATCTTTACATAAAGCAAAAACATTTTAGAAAACCAATGAACCCATTAAATATGCATAGCAGCGTTAATCTAATTTTCATTTTTCTTAAAAAACTACAGCTTACATGACACTAACATATCAAACTCCATCTCAGAATGTCTTAGCCAACTTGGCAGACAACCCAGCCATGATGTTAAGATTTACCCAACCTGAATCCCAGTGGGGGCACAGCTCACTGTGCGAGACATGCTGCAGTCTAACACTTTGTATTCATCTGTAGTAAGAAGAGGATTACCAAATTACCTATTGGAAAGAATAGATACCAACTGTGTCAAAAGTATTCTCTATAAAATTCAATACAGCGAATACTTAATTCAGAATAAAATATGTTTGGATAACAAAAGTAAGATGAGCACTGTTATAAGTTTTGGTGGAATACTTTACTGTTGTTAAGTGGAAGCAATCTACACTTTACTCTTGTAAATCATCAGTCCCAATGCACAAACAAATTTAAGGTGTTTTCCTTTATTAACTCTACTACTCGACACACTTAAGGAAAGAATGAAACAGGTGAGAAAACAGAACTGTTGCTCTATTTATTAAAAAAAAAACAGAAATGCAAAGGAAGAGAAAATGAAGGAGACCACTGGGTAGTACTGCAGTTTGTAACAAAAATTAAACAACTTTCTGGAAAAGGAAAGAGTAAAAGTGTATTTTCCCCTGAGATAGTGCTGCATGGGTGATCAATGCTCTACTACCTAGACTATTTACTGTAATTGGTAAAATATACACCATTCCCAACATAAAACATGTATTATTGCTATGAATCATAAATTTTCAGAAAAGCTTATGTAGAGTAAGTACATTGTAACTCTCTTCAACCAACCTAGCTACAAAGACTTGAGAAAGTATGAAAATACATAATTAAGATATACAGTACGTGTATACTATGTCACTTCACAGTGTTTTTCATAAGGAAAAGAAGGCTCATTATCTTCCATTTATGATTCTGTTTTCAAACTGATTTTGTAATATACATATACTATAACATATTGCAAAATTAGTTTTCATTATTTAATTAAGAATTTTAAATTGCAGATATACATTTCAACATAAATCCATAAGAAAATAAAATACTATTCCTATCACTAATTATAATACAAAAGTTTAGAAGAAATGTCTTAGATTTACCAAAGAAAACATTAGCAAAGAAGGGAATGTATGAAAGTATAGTGGTACCAACACTCTTATATGGGTGTGAAGCTTGGGTTGTAAATGCTGCAGCGAGGAGGTGGCTGGAGGCAGTGGAGATGTCTTGTCTAAGGGCAATGTGTGGTGTAAATATTATGCAGAGAATTCAAAGTGTGGAAATTAGGAGGAGGTGTGGAGTTACTAAAAGTATTAGTCAGAGGCCTGAAGAGGGGTTGTTGAGGTGGTTTGGTCATTTAGAGAGAATGGATCAAAGTAGAATGACTTGGAGAGCATATAAATCTGTAGGGGAAGGAAGGAGAGGTGGGGGTCGTCCTCAAGGTTGGAGGGAAGGGGTAAAGGAGGTTTTTGAGGCGAGGGGCTTGGACTTTCAGCAAGCATGCGTGAACGTGTTAGACAGGAGTGAATGGAGACGAATGGTTTTTGGGATCTGATGAGCTGTTGGAGTGTGTGCAGGGTAATATTTTGTGAAGGGATTCAGGGAAGCCAGTTAGCCAGACTTGAGTCCTGGAAATGGGAGGTACAATGCCTGTACTTTAAAAGAAGGGTTTAGGATACTGACAATCTGGAGGGATGTCTAAACTGTCATATCTGAGCACCTCTGCAAAGACAATGATTATGTATGAGGTGAAAGTGGTGAAAGATGAAAGTATTTTCTTTTCAGGGATTTTCTTTCTTTTTGGGTCACCTTGCCTCGGTGGGAGATGGCCAACTTGTTGAGAAAAAATAAAATTATTCTAACTTCATTAAGCAGTACTGCTTTTGCCAGTGCTACTCACCAAGCTCACACTTGAGATTACTGTCAATTGGAAGAACTTGCTCAATGCTAAGGTCAATTGCACTGTGAACTGGAACTCTTGCAGTCTGGAAGATAAGCAATGCCTGCTCTCCTCCTTGCTTGATTTCCTGAGTAGTTACTTCAATCAGTGCCACGACTCGTGTTGTCTTGATAAATTCTTGTACGAGTCCTGCTTCAACTACCTGGGGTATTTTGTTAAGGCATGTACATCTAGTGATGGACAAAAGCAAAAGCATATTAGTTGAGAGCAACTCAGTCAACATGGAAAATAAAGTTAGTTCTCTCTATGGTAATTTATTACTAATTTTAGATTCATATAAATTAAGAAAATTAATTTAGCACAAAAACTTATTAATGTCTTTATCAATGAACATTTCTAATGAAAGTGGAGTAGGAGTGTTTAATAGTATTCAATCTTTGATACTACAAATGTGACCATCACAACTCTGCCAAGTGCAACAGACCACAACTTCTCCAACTTCAACCTTGTTTAACTCTTTACTATCAGTCACATACATCTACAATGACCCAGGCCAGTGTTGCTTATGTAGATCTACCCATAAATCATAGCACCCTCAAATTGGCTTTGAGCTGCAAATTTTGGCCTACACATGAGGGAAATGGTCTGTGTGGAGGGTGAGTGCAGTATAAAAGAAAGCCTGCCTCCACACAGTGCATGATTAGAACAGCTAACCTTTGATTTTGGGTTAAAATAGTGAATTTGGAACAGATCTTCTTTCAACAAATCGGCCATTTCCCACCAAGGCAGGGTGGCCCCCCCAAAAAAAAAAGTTTCTCTTTTTAACTTTAGTAATGTATACAGACGAAGGGGTTACTAGCCTCTTGCTCCCAGTACTTTAGTCGACTCTTACGACACACATGGCTTAAGGAGGAAGAATTCTGTTCCACTTTCCCATAGAGATAAGAGGAAAGAAGAACAAGAATAAGAAAATAAAAGAAGACCCAGAGGGGTGTGTATATATATGCTTGTACATGCAAGTTTAGTGTAACCTAAATGTAAGTAGAATTAACAAGATGTACCTGAAACCTTTCACGTTTATGAGACAGAAAAAAGACACCAGCAATCCTGTCATTATGTAAAACAATTACAGGCTTTCGTTTTACACTCACTTGGCAGGAAAGTAGTACCTCCTTGGGCAGCTACCGAGACCAGAAGATATACAGTGGAACCTCGGTTTTCGTATGCCCCAGTGTTTGTAGGATTCGAGTTTCAATGACTTTTTTCATCAAAATTTTGTCCCAGTTTTCGTACATCCACTCGGTTTTCGTAGAGTTGAAAATGGTCCGTACCAAATGCATCCGCATGCCTCAGCCACTCAAGCACCCACACAAAGCATCTCATGCATTCATGAATCAGTCTGCCTTTGTTTCTTGTTGAGTGAGCATCACCCCGTGCGTTCATCCGAAACATTTCATAATAATCCATTGTATTGTGCTTGTTTATTGAGTGTGACTGCTAAATTAGCCACCATGGGGCAAAGAAAGTTCCGAGTGCCAGCCCTTTGATAAAGAAGGAGAGAAACACGATAGAATTCAAGAAAGAACTCGCAGCAAAGTACAAAAGTGGATGTGGAAGAGTTGGTGGACGACCACAGGGAAGAGCTAACCACTGAAGAGCTGCAAGACCTTTAACTGGGACAGCAACAGACTGCAGCTGAGCAAATTGCTTCAGAGGGAGAGAGAGGGAAGAATGTACCTTCTTCAGTGATTAAGGACATGTGTGCAAAGTGGAACGAGTTGCAAAGTTTTGTGGAGAAATATCATCCTAACAAAGCTGTTGCAAGCTGTGTGTGCAACATGTTCAATGACAATGCCTTGTCCTATTTTAGGCAAATCTTAAAGAGACACCAGAAACAGATCTCTCTGGACAGATTTTTTGTGTGACAGGGGTACAATGACTCTCAAGCTGATCCTAGTGCCAGTAAAAAGCAAAGAAGGGAAGTAACCCTGGCTAGGGCCTTGATACCTGAAGTCTTTATGGAAGGGGATTCCCCTTCCAAACACTAACCTCTCCTCCTCCCTCTCCCCTCCTCGCCAGCTTCCATATGCCAACAAGAGTCTTCAATAAAGGTAAAAGTGATGTTAAATGTTTATTTATCCACTTCATTAGTCATTTATATTTCTCACTGTTTTCTGAATGTAAAACTTTTGTTTTTCTCAATAAAATGTAGTTTTTGTTAATATTTTTGGGTGTCTGGAATGGATTAACTGGATTTACATTATTTCTTAGGGGAAAAATTGCTTCACTTTTCATTCGATTTGGTTTTTGTCAAACTTTTTAGAATGGATTAATTACGAAAACTGAGGTTCCACTGTGCTAGTGAAATGGAGAAGATTTTGGTCGGTATCAAATCATAAGTGGCCTGAAATAGATCTCAAAGTGACAGAAAGAGTCAATTTTATGCAGCTTAACTGAGGAGGATTAAGCAACTCACATGAATATAACAACAGCAATAATAATAATAATAATACTGCAGAAGAGTTGGGCCCCAATTCTCCCCACCTCCTAGGCCTGTTTTATGGGTTATTCTAGGTCTGCTTCAATTACTGGGACAACTTAAACCATGACCAAGCATTCTTGGTTATGGTTTATTACCATATGGACTCAATTATGAATTCCAGACTGCTGATCTCTCTATGAATGTAGCACTAGAATGTTCAGGGGGTTCAACTGTACTCTAAAATATACTATGCAAAGAAATCCATCTTGGAAATACATACCATTTTTATTGTGCATCAATTACATGAAAACTCATAAAAAGCATGTACATAAATAACCCGCACATAGGAGAAAGAAACTTGACATTTTGATCCGACTTGGACCACTGACAAGTTACACTAACACAAGAAAGCTCCCTCACCTTCGTGTGTTAGTGGGACTTGTCAATGGTCCAAGTTGGCCCAAAACATCATAAGCTTCTTTCTCCTATGTGTGGGTTATTTGTGTATTATTCCAGTCACGGTATTGTGCCTTTTTGTTCTTTAAAAAGCATATAATAAGCATAAATTAAAATAAAAGTTTATACATGCAAAAAATAAAAATGTTGCAAGAATGTTATAGTAGAATACATAATGCAGTGCATGATAAGGATACAGCAGTGAGCTTGTGGCCTGAGAGAAGCTTCTCTTGTACGTGTGGTGAAAGCTCCATGACTGGTGCTGTGCTCCTACTACACTCAACACTCCTTTACATCTGGCAACAAATAAATAATAATATAATAAATATACTGTATGGAGGTTAATGAGATCCTTATATTTTAAAATTCAGATTACATTTCAACAATTTATTATAAAATTATACACTTTACAGTCAGTTTTGCTTTACTAAATTAATATAAATAGGCACACTGCAGTACTGTCATTTTTCTGTGCCCTTGCCAGGACACAAAATGGCATCACACTGGGCGAATACAGAGCACCACTGCAACACTTAGCAACATCTCTTGCAGACTAAACTCATTACAAAACCTGCCTAAATATTCTGCACTCATTTACAGCATCTAGAAATATTAACAAATACCGCATGTCAACCATTTATAATTTGTTTTTTGCTTTTCATGACAGTAATGATAATTTAAAATTTAAGCTATTAGAAACTGAAACTTAATATACAACAAACTATACAAAGAAACAGTTTAGCCTGTACAAGAAAGTATCTCAACACCTACAGAAAAAAAAACTCAGCAGTGAACGAGTAGTAAAAATAAACAGTGGAACCTCGGTATGTGACCTTAATTCATTCCAGAAGGCTGTTCGAGTGCCGCTCTGTTTGAGTAGCGAACAAGTTCTTCCCAACCAATTTTCTGTTTGGTTGGCTGTTATCATTAATCTTCGTAGGCCCCATGAAGACTTATTTATACAAATACAAAAAAACACCAAAAAATGCAAAGAAACACGAAATAGTTTACAGCGAAGTTCTGGCAGGTCGTATTTGTTTGGTCAAGTGCTGAGCCTTGTTCGAGGAGGGAGCTGGTCGTATACCGAGGTTCCACTGTATATATATAAAGAAAAAGCACAGGCATGCAACGGTAATGTCTAATTTCAGATTCACCAATAATTCTCTTTAGAGATTCTGAGCAGAAACTTCATGCAAAAGTTTCTTCAGTGAGCAGTGTCCAGAGCACAAGCAAGCATCAAAGGAAATGGCTGAGAATCACACAGCTATGGTAATCAAATTACTGTAGGTATTTTTCCATTTAGGTTTATATGAAGTACATCACTAAATTACTGGAGAATTATTAAACTGTAATTTTCACAGGAATTTTATAACATGTTTGATTGCAATATCCACTGGTGATGCATATCATTTGAAAATTCTGATGCCAGTATCTTTACTAAAGAGCTCGTCTCATGAGGGCATGCACTAAAGAAAAGAATTAGTGTATGTACAGTAACAATCATGTTATACATAGGTGTACATGACACAGTATTATTTGGTGTTAAGAGATTTAATAAATAATTGATCAGCAGATTGCTTTATTCTACATGCTAACTAACCATTCTGCTGTATACCTCGTTATCTCAGCAGTTTTCCAAATGTTAGGGCTCCAAATCTCACTGGATGCATAATACTTGGAAGGAAACAAATCATTAAGTTTTTAGAATGGAGTAAATAGTTGGACAATAAATATTTTTTATACTGCAAATAAAGTACATTAATGTTGATAAGATGCCAGTGAGCTTGAAATATATTCAGACAAAACTGTTGCTATCATATAATGCTACACAAAATGAGAATAACATTAAAAACAAAATAGTTATAACTACAGAACATCAAACTTTGGTTTCAGACAACGAACATCATGCTTATTTGAATCTCTGAACGTATCAAAACATACAAGTCATTCATGCATTCTACTGCTAACTCATCTTCAGGAGCCTATACTATAATGCTAATCCAGGCTTAAAAACTTTCTTGAGAGCTGCAACAGAACCTATGAGCATTACATATGAAATATCTCTGATATTCCAAGCAAAAGTCTGAATCTATGTAAAAACTCAGTGCAAATAGAGACCCAAAATACAAGAAACCTTACCAGAAGACACTGAAATCTGTCCAAAATTATACAAATTTGACACGCTGTAAATAAAAAATCATAATTTCAATTCTGTAAAATTTCTGTAATGGCATTATTATTATTATTATTATATTACATAAATTTAATACTAAGTTCATTGTTTAAATTAGACCACTGAACTGATAATGACAACCTCCATACATTTTCCAAGTTCATCCATACCCATAACTTGTATATAGATGTCACTAAATAGAGTACATATGTTTTCAGATACTTGGGAGTTGACGTGTCGGAGGATGGATTTATGAAGGATGAGGTTAATCATAGAATTGATGAGGGAAAAAAGGTGAGTGGTGCGTTGAGGTATATGTGGAGTCAAAAAACGCTATCTATGGAGGCAAAGAAGGGAATGTATGAAAGTATAGTAGTACCAACACTCTTATATGGATGTGAAGCTTGGGTGGTAAATGCAGTAGCGAGGAGACGGTTGGAGGCAGTGGAGATGTCCTGTCTAAGGCAATGTGTGGTGTAAATATTATGCAGAAAATTCGGAGTGTGGAATTAGGAAAAGGTGTGGAGTTAATAAAAGTATTAGTCAGAGGGCAGAAGAGGGGTTGTTGAGGTGGTTTGGTCATTTAGAGAGAATGGATCAAAGTAGAATGACATGGAAAGCATATAAATCTATAGGGAAGGAAGGCGGGGTAGGGGTCGTCTCGAAAGGGTTGGAGAGAGGGGGTAAAGGAGGTTTTGTGGGCAAGGGGCTTGGACTTCCAGCAAGCGTGCGTGAGCGTGTTAGATAGGAGTGAATGGAGACGAATGGTACTTGGGACCTGACGATCTGTTGGAGTGTGAGCAGGGTAACATTTAGTGAAGGGATTCAGGGAAACGGTTTATTTTCATATAGTCGGACTTGAGTCCTGGAAATGGGAAGTACAATGCCTGCACTTTAAAGGAGGGGTTTGGGATATTGGCAGTTTGGAGGGATATGTTGTGTATCTTTTATGTATTATGCTTCTAAACTGTTGTATTCTGAGCACCTCTGCAAAAACAGTGATAATGTGCGAGTGTGGTGAAAGTGTTGAATGATGATGAAAGTATTTTCTTTTTGGGGATTTTCTTTCTTTTTTGGGTCACCCTGCCTCGGTGGGAGACGGCCAACTTGTTTAAAAAAAAAAAAAACATATTTTACTTGAGGCCAGCAGGGCATCACAGTGAAAAAATAATCACAAGAAAAATGTTCTTTCCCAAATAACATACTGAAATAAAGTCTGGTAGGACAAAGAAATTTTTGTGTTGATTTTAGTTCAAATATCACAATAATTTAGCTGAATTTCAAAAAGCAATTAAGGATCCATTTAACCCGTAAACGGTCCAAGCAGATCTACGTTCACATGTGTAGTGCTACAAAAGTAGATCTAAGTTTTTTTTACATATTTTCAAATATAACAACAAAAAAAAGTAGATCAAAGTTTTTTTACACATTTTCAAATGTAGAAAAATAAAAAGAAGATCTACTTTTTTTACAAACTTTCAAATGTTGAAAAAACGTATATATACATTTGGACTGTTTACGGGTTAAAGAAAAGAAAAACATTGGCTGTCTATGCAGCATCTGGACAATTACTGCAACTCTATTTGTCTATCAATCAATCAGTTTGATGCTTCACGTCTTCCAAGAAATACATGTACGTAACTCAAAATAATGGATTCATGTTGGATGAACTTAGATTTAGAAAAGATATACAAAAGTACTGGTTTTGAAATAATATCTGAGATGACAGGAACAACTGCTAAGTAGAGAGACTGAAGCCGACACCTTCGGCAGAAGCAAAAATAGGTTGAGTAATATGACAGAAAAGTTGGGTTTGAGGAGGACCTGCCTAGAGGGACTGATTATCTTAAAACTCCCTATTCACATCTTCACATCATCAACAGACTGAGGGACTGATCACTTCAAACACCATATCTATACCTGGAGAGGGTTTCAGGGATCAATGCCCCTGCAGCCCAGTCATTGACCGGGCCTTAGGGGCATTGATTCCCAAAACCCATAAGAGAGAGAAGCTTACTCATCAACCTTTTAGCATTATATACTATTTATATGTATTATGATTTTAATATATAAACTCTGACTGGATGTTTGGTAAAATGTAAGTCACACGGAAAATATATGTTACTATCCTTAGAAAACATCACCATCTGTTTGTGTGTTACTGGTGAAATACAGTGTACTATGTACATCTACATAATTATTATTACATTACAATATTCACAGAAAATTTATATACCCATTATGTCTACACAAGAATCTGGCATCATCTTCAATTATACAGAGTTCATGCAACCTTCTCTAATTAATATATACAGTATCAGCTAATCTTAAATCTGATTCAAACCATATACAATGACCTCCAGTGAAATTTAAGTCACTTTCTCTGACATTTTTGGGGTTTTCCTAAATAATTTACACATATGTTACTAGGTATGATATTTGCACTTAAGTAGACCTGTACTTAAATAGACTTACAATTATACAATCATTTCAATAAATATAGAGCTAACTACTACAGAACTACACTGGTGATAAATTATATATATCTAACCTAAGATAACACCGCAAAAAAAGAAGCCAGACTGTAACTTACAAGCAGTGTAGTGTACACTACACAGGTCACCTTGACCTACTTGTTGTATCAGTGAACACATTCACTGCTGGTGATTGTGTCACAATATATGTATTTCTCCAATGAATTTATTATTATCATGGGGGAGCGCTAAACTCGTAGGAATTATACAGCACCTGTGGAGGGGGGGAGGGGATGGAAGGTATTCAGGCTCAATTTAGGGAACTGAAGCACAGATCCAATTCCCTAGATCAAGAGCCCCCTCACCAGCATCAAGGAACTTCCCTTGAGGGGTTTCCCCAATAGAAATAATCAAGGACCCCAATGAAAATAAGTCACTTTGACCTTTTTTTTTTTTTTTAGGTTATCCTAGGTAATTTACACACATGTATAGTAACTGTACTTATGTATACCTGTACCTAAGTAATCTTACTAACCACATCTACTGTGCAGCAGTGATTCACACATTCCCAATTACATAATAATTTACAATCAGTCCTTACAGCTGGCACTTTTTAACTGCTTCTACAAGGTCATGCTGTGACCTTACCAACTATTTTCCCCAAATCCGAGTCTAAACTCGGGAATAAATCACATGAGAAAACCTGTAACCTGCCGGGGACTTTCATTACTTTTTATTGCTATACTTATGGGAGCAGCGGTAAACCCGTAGGGGTCATATAGAAAGGGGGGGGAGGAAAAAAAAAAAAGACAATCTGAACTGAGCCAAGGTAAGGATGGGCCCCAATTCCATGGATCAAGATCCCCCCTCTCCCCTCACCGGCATCAAGGGACACTCCCAAGAGGGGACACTAATTAATCAAACCACCCAAGACATAATTAGTCAATTAAGACACTTCTTGACCTTCCCACGTCACAGAAAAACCTAAATAACTAAGCTCATCATGCAACTACCTAGCCAATTAAACCACAAATATCTCCACTACATCAATACACAATTCAGTAAAGCCCCGTAATTTAAATTAAGAGCCCATTACAACCTGTAATTTTGACCTTATTGAATGAGCTGATTTCTCGACACAACTTCTAATCAACGTTCCAAAACTCACGATGATTATACTTAAAACATTAACATCTAAACTAGGTTTATTTATAATAGAATGATACTAAAGTATTCACTGAAGATGTTGGTATTTCTAACCCGTTGATTATCTCTCTTCTAATTTAATCCCTTACGAACAATTTTGAAAGACTTTATTTCTAAAAGTCAAAGTAAGACATTGTAAACACAATCTTTAATAGAAAACGTAAATATTTAAAACATAAACTGAATTATTTTTTTTTTTTTTTTTGGGTGGAGACATGTGACTTAAAACCGATAAGTGGTGAAGATCTTGTCGGGATTATTAACCCGGCGGGTTCGTAACTCAGGTGTCCCGTGGCTTGGTAGGCAACGCACTCGCCTCCCACAGTGTCTGTGGTTCAATACCTGGCGAGGGTGGAAATGTTGGGCATGTTCCCTTACACCTGCTGTCACTGTTCACCTAGTGGTAAATAGGTACCTGGGTGTTAGTCGACTGGTGTGGTTGGCATCCTGGGGAACACAAGTGAGGGACCCCAGTGGAAATAAGATAGTCCTCTTGGGTTAGCCTGGGTAGCTAGTTTTCCGGGCTAGAAACCTGGTGGCTAAAGCTCCCGCTTCACACACGGAGGGCCCGGGTTCGATTCCCGGCGGGTGAAAACATTTCGACACGTTTCCTTACACCTGTTGTCCTGTTCACCTACCAGAAAATAGGTACCTGGGTGTTAGTCGACTGGTGTGGGTCGCATCCTGGGGGACAAGATTAAGGACCCCAATGGAAATAAGTTAGACAGTCCTCGATGACGCACTGACTTTCTTGGGTTATCCTGGGTGGCTAACCCTCCGGGGTTAAAAATCCGAACGAAATCTTATCTTATCTTATCTTTATGACACAATAAAGCCTGTTGGCCATCAGGAACTGCGACCCACAGCAGCCAACTCAATGCTAGGTGAATAAACTCAGTGGTCATTTTATTAGGTACACCAATGGAAATAATACACTTTGGATTTTTTGGGATTATCCTAAGTAATTTACACATATGTTACTACGTATAATAATTGTACTTACGTGTACCTGGAGTATACCAGGTTCCAGTTCCAGGCCTATTATTATTGTTATTATTAATATAAACATGGGGAGAGCTACATAAGGGGGATTACCAATAGACCCCTGGCTGTCTTCAAGCAGGCACTGGACAAGCACCTAAAGTCGGTACCTGACCAGCCGGGCTGTGGCTCGTACGTTGGATTGCGTGCAGCCAGCAGTAACAGCCTGGTTGACCAGGCCCTGATCCACCATGAGGCCTGGTCACAGACCGGGCCGCGGGGGCGTTGACCCCCGGAACTCTCTCCAGGTAAACTCCAGAATGGAAGGTATTCAGACTCAATTCAGGTAACTGAAGTATAGATCTAATTCCCTAGATCAACAGCCCCTCACCAGCGTCAAGAAACTTCCCTTGAGGGGTACCTGTGCCTAAATAAACTTACGTGCTCGTTAATACAAGTATCTTATTAGTCTATCACGTGGCAGCACCTCAGTGCCTACAAGCATGGAGACATGGTCAAGAGGTTCAGTTGTTGTTCAGACCGAGCATCATAATGGGGAAGAAATGTGATCTAGACAGATCATGGAAATATTATTAGTGTCAGATGGGATGGTTTGAGTATCTCAGAAACTGCTGATCTCTTGGGATTTCCACTCACAACAGTCTCTAGAGTTTACAGAGAATGATGGGACAAACACAAAACATACAATGAGCGTCAGTTCTGTGGGCGAAAAAGCCTTGTTAATGAGAGGGGTCAGAGGAAAATCGACAGATTGGTTCAAGGTGATAGTAATTCAAGTAACTATGCGTTACTACAGTGGTATGCAGATCATCTATGAATGCATAGCACGTCAAACCTTGAAGTGAATGGAATAATGGAAGTAAAAACTCCCACCGGGTTCCACTCCTGTCAGCTAAGAACAGGAAACTGAGGCTACAGTGGTCACAGGCTCACTAAACTGGACAGTTAAAGACAGAAAAGAAAGTCACCTGCCCTCACGAATCGCGATTTCTACTGAAATATGCAAATAGTAGGGTCAGAATTTGGTGTAAACTTTTGTGATGTGGTGGAACAAGACATTCGCAACATGAAAGTGTAACCAACAAATTTAAGGTGTCCCGTGGCCTGGTGGCTGAAGCTCTCGCTTCACACGGCGAGGGTCCGGGTTCGATATAACCAAATCATATCACTGCTTTCATCCCACAAAACAAGGTCGAAGAATAAAAAACTGTTAAAAAATAAGAGACAAGCTGCAGTACTTTACTGTGAGAGGAAGAAGTTAGTGACACATTAACCAAGGACGTGAGAAGCACCTAACTACTGTGGGTTAGGATTCGCGTTGACCAAATGTCTGGTCTGTATGAGCTGTATCACGCTAGGAAACAGCATTTCCCGCCGCCCTGGCAGATAACAGCTTTTGATATCACTTTGCCCACCTATCCTTCTTAGAAACTAATCATGCACACTCCTCAGCTTCAATTATTTTCTAAAATCAGTGTTCAGGAACACATACACGACCTACGACCTTAGCACAAAGAATACTATCACATAAACTAATACACGGCCTTAGCCGTGTTGGATGAATCTTATTGTGGCTAGCTGGTCTAGTGGCTAACGCGACGGGCTGGAGTTTTGAGACTCTATGACCGCGGGTTCAATCCCGGCCGGGGGTATGGTTTAGCACAAAGAATACTATCACGCAAACTATCAACGCTGATGGCTCCCTTAACCCTGACAGTGGGAGTTCAAGAAATGGTTATCATAAACCAGCCTGATAGTACTATAATACTGAGGCTCATTAGAATTAATAATTGGGATTCTACCTTACAAACTGAGCTATTTAGTATACTTGCCCTCAAGCTTGTGGAAACTACTACCGAACTCAGTGTAATTGTAATTGACTCTCTCTTTCCTTATTACTTGCTCTAAATAGCCTGAGACCTGAATGTAACATATTTGTGTATGAAGCTAGGTACAAATTATTAAGAAAGGGATTACAGTTAGCCTTTTGTGGATTCCCTCTCATATAGGCTTCCAAGAACATGATAAAGTTGATAAATCAGCTAAATAAGCATTAAGTAAAGAGAATGTTGAGAATAATTTTGATTTTTCAAATAGAAGTTTACGAAACATTGTCAGAAAGGTTGAAGAAAGCAGAGCTGCAGATTGGAACTAACAGAACATTGTCCATAATAATGATATGTGCCCAGTTAAACATACAGTATCTATGGAGAAAGTAACAAGGATAGTTTGTCTGCATGATGTTATTGCTAGACAAGGCTAGGTTATAAGTATTTCTGGCATTACGGTTTATATGCAGATGTCAATGACAAAATGCTAAGTGTGTGGACAGAGACAGGGCCATACAGTGAAGTATTATATCCTAGAGTGTCCAAACATCTAACTTTTTGGCGACACCTCTATGCAAACCTTGCAGGATATGGTAAAACACTTCATTGTTAATAAGACATTTGAAATCTTGAGGTTGTATGATCTTGTATCCACATTTTGCATCGATTAGATTAATGAACTGTTTTTATTGAAGAGATTGCAATCCAGTTTTGACCAGTCTGTTTTAATGGTAATTATATATATATATATATATATATATATATATATATATATATATATATATATATATATATATATATATATATGTATATATATATATATATATATATATATATATATATATATATATATATATATATATATATATATATATATATATATATATATATCTTGTATTCCGTACTACATTGTGTACATCACCCATATGGAATAATTGTAAAACATTATATGGCTAATATTTTTCTAATGATGTAAAAATCCTCAGTGGGTCTGACAAGAGCCATTGTGACCTTTGTAATCTTTTTTTTTTCGCACTACCGCTCACAGGATGAGCATGAGATGCACAATAAACTAGCCACTCGGGCGGCACAACTAAGATCTCAACTATGTAACACCAATTTACCGGCTGACCTCCACTATGTGACACCAAGCACTGGATGACCTCCCCCACTATGTGACACCAAGCACTGAATAACCTCCCCCACTATGCGACACCAGGCACTGAATAACCTCCCCCAGTATGCGACACCAGGCACTGGATGACCTCCTCCACTATGTGACACCAGGCACTGGATGACCTCCTCCACTATGTGACACCAAGCACTGAATAACCTCCCCCACTATGCGACACCAGGCACTGAATAACCTCCCCCTGTATGCGACACCAGGCACTGGATGACCTCCTCCACTATGTGACACCAGGCATTGGATGACCTCCTCCACTATGTGACACCAGGCACTGGATGACCTCCTCCACTATGCGACACCAGGCCCTGGATGAATACAAGATTCAATTAACGTACCGTTGGGCATTGCTGGAGTCTTTGACCATGTCACTGTTGTCTCTGGCAAAACACTACTAATCTTTGACTTCCTTCTATACCTTACACACTAATTTCCAACGAGGTCGATCTCTTAAAGCAGTAATTAACGGAAGAGAGTCTGAAAGACTCGGAGTTCGCAAGTCGCTGCTGAAGTTTGTGATTATGTCGCTGCCAGTCCTGATGAGTTGATACCGGGTGAGCTGGTACAGCATCATGCCGGGTTTACCTGGAGTTTACCTGGAGAGAGTTTCGGGGGTCAACGCCCCCGCGGCCCGGTCTGTGACCAGGCCTCCTGGTGGATCAGCGCCTGATCAACCAGGCTGTTGCTGCTGGCTGCACGCAAACCAACGTACGAGCCACAGCCCGGCTGATCAGGAACTGTCTTTAGGTGCTTGTCCAGTGCCAGCTTGAAGACTGCCAGGGGTCTGTTGGTAATCCCCCTTATGTGTGCTGGGAGGCAGTTGAACAGTCTCGGGCCCCTGACACTTATTGTATGGTCTCTTAACGTGCTAGTGACACCCCTGCTTTTCATTGGGGGGATGGTGCATCGTCTGCCAAGTCTTTTGCTTTCGTAGT